CAATCATGTGTTAGTAGTAGTCGACGCTTTCTCTAAATTTGTGTGGCTTTGTCCCACTAAGAGTACTGGCGCTGACGAAGTAATCGATAGAATGGAAAGGCAGGCTGAAGTTTTCGGTAACCCACGTCGTATAATCACGGATCGTGGAACGGCATTCACAGCCAATGTTTTTCAGGAATACTGTAAGGATCACAACGTTCAGCATTTGTTGGTAGCCACAGGAGTGCCACGTGGCAACGGTCAAGTAGAGCGTATCAATAGGATTGTCATCACTATATTGACAAAACTTTGTGCATAATACCCGAAAGTTTGGTATAAGCATGTAGGCAGGGTTCAACAGTTTATTAATTCCTCCCCACCTAGAAGTACCAAGATAGCTCCATTCAAGATTCTTACCTGGATGAATATTAAGACCAAGTACGATAAAGAGTTAGAAAAGCTGTTAGAGGAAGATTTCCTAAATGAGTTACAGGAAGAGAAGGAGATGATTCGAAAGGAAGCTAAGGAGAACATCGCAAAGATTCAGGACGAGAATCGCAAGTCATTCAACAAATCAAGAAAGCCAGAGTCTGAGTACAAACTCGGAGATTTAGTAGCTATTAAAAGAACGCAGTTTGGTGCAGGGTTGAAGTTGAAGAAGAAGTACTTAGGGCCGTACACCGTGACCCGTAAGTTGAGACATGGTCGATACCTCGTCGAGAAAGTAGGAGATAATAAAGGTCCAAATAAAACAAACACTTCGCCGAATATATGAAGTTGTGGTCGTCCTCATTCGGGTCGAATGAATTGTCAGAATAGCCGAATGTAGGATTGGCAGTCCTATTTTATAATCGATAAGTTGTTAAGTTCCGTCACACTTTTCTTTAGTGTTGAAAAGCATGAAAAATGAGAACGAGTAGAGATTGAGCATCAGCAGAGGAAGGTCGTGTGTATCTCAGCAGTGGCGGATTTAACAGGTGGGCAAAGGCGCGCTTGCCCACTGGGCCCTCCCGACGAAAGGCTTTCAGGGTCCCTCTTGCTGAAAGTTACACCTTCGATTTTTTTTTTTTATTTTTTTGTTGAAAAAATGTTTTGGTGAGTCTCTTGTGGACAGCACAAGTTCAATATTCATTCAGGAGCCCCCTGTTGTCAGAATAATTGCAATGCTTGATAACTATCGTAAATTGAATATAAAATCAAATAACTTTTGGGTGCAATCCTAGAAAAGGGGCCCCCCCAGCGTATTTTCGGCAATTTTTGGTATTTTCGGCTAAATTTGGAGTTGATCGAAAGAGGAAAGCCTTAGGTAACGACGTAGAACCAAAAAAACCGATTGCGATCATTCCTTACCTTGTAATTTACGGTTATTTCCGGCAATGGGGGGGTTATTTTTTCCCATATTACGGCGTCGATATTAAACGACGGGGGTATGGGGTGACAGGGGGGCCCTGAAAAAATTTTGCCAACTGGGCTTTTTTCCTTAAATCCGCCACTGTATCTCAGTATATTAAAAATGTTAAACTAAAAAAACTATGCTGTATCAAAACCTATATTAAGCGAACAATAAAGTGAATTTAATTATAATTTAATGAAGTCAACGGATGCCTTTCTCTACATATATCATACCAAAATAAAAATACGGCATGTTTTAATATAAGTGTCGTTTTTACAACTGCTGGTTAGAAAACTATTAAAAACATGGTTTTTGCAGATAAATGTTGTAAAAATAACCACAAATTACTTTTTAGTGATTTGTTGAGGAAAAAGTGAGTAAACTACATGTATTTTATATCAACTAAAAAACAGGCGGCAAGCTTCAATATCATTGTTTTGTTAACGACTTCTGGTTAGAAAAAAGTTTCCAACATGGTTTTATGATGGTAAGTTTTTTGGTTGAGTGATTGGTTGAGGAAACACGGCATAATTCAATATAAGTGTCTTTTTTACAACTGCTGGTTAGAAAACTATTAAAAACAAAGTTTTTTGCTGGTAAATGCTGTAAAAATAACCACAAATTACTTTTCAGCTATTTGTTGAGGAAAGACTATATTTATTTTATATCAAATAAAAAACAGGCGGCTAGCTTCAAAGTCATTGTTTTTTTTACGACTTCTGGTTAGAAAATAGTTTCCAACATGGTTTTATGATGGTAAGTTTTCTAAAAATGGTAAAAATTACTTTTCAGTGATTGGTTGACGAAAGAATTAGAGAACCACACATATATCATACCAAAATATAAATACGGCATGTTTCAATTAAGTGTCGTTTTTACTACTGCTGGTTAGAAAACTATTAAAAACATGGTTTGTTGCTGGTAAATTCTGTAAAAATAAACACAAAATACTTTTCAGTTCTTTGGTGAGAAAAGACAACATATATTTTATATCAAATGAAAAACAGGCGGCAAGCTTCAATATCATTGTTTTGTTAACGACTTCTGGTTAGAAAAAAGTTACCAACATGGTTTTATGATGGTAAGTTTTTTAAAAATGGTACAAATAATTTTCAGTGATTGGTTGACGAAAGAATTAGAGAACTACTCATACCAAAATAAAAATAGACGGTATGTTTCTATATAAGTATTTTTTTACAACTGTTGGTTAGAAAAATATAAAAAAAACATGGTTTTTGCAAATAAATGTTGTAAAAATAACCACAAATTACTTTTCACTGATTTGTTGAGGATAGAGTGAAAAAACTACTTATATTTAACATGAAATGAAAAACAGACGGCAAGCTTTAATATTATTGTTTTGTTTACGGCTTCTGGTTAGAAAACAGTTTCCGACATGGTTTTATGATGGTAAGTTTTCTAAATATGGTACAAATTATTTTCAGTGAATGGTTGACGAAAGAATTAGAGAACTATACATATATCATACCAAAACAATAATAGACGGCATGTTTCAATATAAGTGTCGTTTTTACAACTGCTGGTTAGAAAACTATTAAAAACAAAGTTTTTTGCTGGTAAATGCTGTAAAAATAACCACAAATTACTTTTCGGTAATTGGTTCAGGAGAGAGTGACATAACTACATATATTCTATATCAAATGAAAAACAGGCGGCAAGCTTCAAAATCATTGTTTTTTTTACGACTTCTAGTTAGAAAACAGTAACCAACATGGTTTTACGATGGTAAGTTCTCTAAAAATGGTACAAATTACATTTCAGTGATTGGTTGACGAAAGAATTCGAAAACTACACATATATCATACCAAAATAAAATAAACGGCATGTTTCAATATAAGTATCTTTTTTACAACTGTTGGTTAGAAAAATATAAAAAAAACATGGTTTTTGCAAATATATGTATGTAGTAAAACTAACCAAAAATTTTTTTTCACTGATTTGTTGAGGAAAGAGTGAGAAAACTACTTATATTTTATATCAAATGAAAAACAGACGGCAAGTTTTAATATCATTGTTTTGTTTACGACTTCTGGTTAGAAAACCGTTACCAACATGGTTTTAAGATGGTAAGTTTTCTAAAAATGGTACAAATTATTTTCAGTGATTGGTTGACGAAAGAATTAGAAAACTACAAATATATCATACCAAAATAATAAAAGGGCATGTTTCAATATAAGTGACGTTTTTACAACTGCTGGTTAGAAAACTAATAAAAACATGGTTTTTAGCTGGTAAATGCTGTAAAAATAACCAAAAATTACTTTTCGGTGATTGGTTCAGGAAGAGTGACATAACTACATATATTCTATATCGCATGGAAACAGGCGGCATGTTTCAAAATCATTGTTTCTTTTCCGACTTCTGGTTAGAAAACAGTTACCAACATGGTTTTACGATGGTAAGTTTTCTAAAAATGGTACAAATTACTTTTCAGTGATTGGTTGACGAAAGAGTTAGAAGACTACACATATATCATACCAAAATAAAAATACGGCATGTTTGAATATAAGTGTCGTTTTCATAACTGCTGGTTAGAAAACTATTCAAAACATGGTTTGTTGCTGGTAAATGCTGTAAAAATAACCACAAATTACTTTTCAGTTATTTGTTGAGGAAAGACTACATATATTTCATATCACATGAATAAGAGGCGGCAGGTTTCAAAGTCATTGTTTGTTTACGGCTTCTGGTTAGAAAACAGTTACCAACAGTTTTTATATAAGTATCTTTTTTCCAACTGCTGGTTAGAGAAATATAAAAAAAAACATCGTTTTTGCAAATAAATGTTGTAAAAATAACCACAAATTACTTTTCAGTTATTTGTTGAGGAAAAAGTGAGTAAACTACATATATTTTATATCAAATGAAAAACAGACGGCAAGCTTTAATATCATTGTTTTGTTTACGACTTCTGTATAAGTGTGTCGTTTATATGTAATAAGTATAAGTGTCGTTTTTACAACGGCTAGTTAGAAAACTATTAAAAAAATGTTGTGACTTGTTGAGGAAAGTGTGAGTAAGCTACATATATTTCATATCACATGAAAAAGAGGCGGCATGTTTCAAAGTCATTGTTTTTTTTACGACTTCTGGTTAGAAAACAGTTACCAACATGGTTTCATGATGGTAAGTTTTCTAAATATGGTACAAATTATTTTCAGTAAATGGTTGACGAAAGAATTAGAAATCTACACATATATCATACCAAAATGAAAATAGACGCCATGTTTGAATATAAGAATCTTTTTTAAAACCTTAGGTTAGAAAAGTATAAAAAAAATCATGGTTTTTGCAGATAAATGTTTGTAGAGAAAGGCATCCATTGACTTCATTACATTATAATTCAATTCACTTTATTGTTCGGTTAATGTAGTTTAGTTTACTTATTTTACAGTTTACTTAGTTTTAACATTTTATGTATACTGGAGATAGACGCGACCTTCCTCTGCTGATGCTCAATCTCTACTCGTTCCCATTTTTCATGCTTTTCAACACTAAAGAAAAGTGTGACGGAACTTAACAACTTATCGATTATAAAATAGGACTGTCAATCCTACATTCGGCTATTCTGACAATTCATTCGACCCAAATGAGGACGACCACAACTTCATATATTCGGCGACAGTGTTTGTTTTATTTGGTATCGACCATGTCTCAACTTACGGGTCACGGTGTACGGCCCTAAGTACTTCTTCTTCAACTTCAACCCTGCACCAAACTGCGTTCTTTTAATAGCTACTAAATCTCCGAGTTTGTACTCAGACTCTGGCTTTCTTGATTTGTTGAATGACTTGCGATTCTCGTCCTGAATCTTTGCGATGTTCTCCTTACCTTCCTTTCGAATCATCTCCTTCTCTTCCTGTAACTCATTTAGGAAATCTTCCTCTAACAGCTTTTCTAACTCTTTATCGTACTTGGTCTTCATGTTCATCCAGGTAAGAATCTTGAATGGAGCTATCTTGGTACTTCTAGGTGGGGAGGAATTAATAAACTGTTGAACCCTGCCTACATCCTTATACCAAACTTTCGGGTATTCTGCACAAAGTTTTGTCAATATAGTGATGACAATCCTATTGATACGCTCTACTTGACCGTTGCCACGTGGCACTCCTGTGGCTACCAACAAATGCTGAACGTTGTGATCCTTACAGTATTCCTGAAAAACATTGGCTGTGAATGCCGTTCCACGATCCGTGATTATACGACTTGGGCTACCGAAAACTTCAGCCTGCCTTTCCATTCTATCGACTACTTCGTCAGCGCCAGTACTCTTAGTGGGACAAAGCCACACAAATTTAGAGAAAGCGTCGACTACTACTAACACATGATTGTATTGTTTTTTTGTCATGTCCATGGGGCCAATGTGGTCAATATGTTAGGTCTGTAACGGTTCGTCTGTCTTGTTTATTGCGTTTGAGAACCCCTCTTTTTTCCCATACTTAGCCTCGCCAACAATGCACTCTACACAGGACTTCACTATAGTTTGAACTTTCTTCTTTAAATCTGGGATGTAATAATCGCGCTGCACCAAGTCAATAGTCTTTTTTACACCAAAGTGTCCTTGTCGGTGAGCTGTGTTGATTATTTCGTTCTCCATGACTGATGGGATCACTATGAGCTCTTTTATAGAATCCTTGTGGAGAACTTCGTGCTTCAGATAGAAGTCATCATAGGTTCTTGTTTCTAGGACCTTACAAATGGCTTTTATCCATTCATCCTGACGTTGAGCTTGTTGAATTCGATGTCTGACTGAATCTTGAAGCAACAAGGTATGTACTCGGCTTAAGGCGTCGACATGTTTCATCCTTGTGCCTGGACGATGCTCTATTATGTACTCAAAGTCTTGTAAAAACATGGCCCAACGAGATACTTTTACTGGGACGTCATTCTTCCGCATGGTCATAGCAAACGCATTGCAGTCAGTGACGATCTTAATCTTTCTCCCCAGCAAGTAGATTCTCCACTTCTTTAGAGCTTGTACTATAGCGAGTACTTCTAGCTCATAAGAAGGATATTTCTCCTCGGCATCTGTTGTCTTGCGGCTCATGTACTCTACCGGGTGGAATTCTTGATCAGCTGAATCCTTTTGAGGAAGGGCTGCTCCATATCCGCACATGCTTGCATCACAATGGATTTCTGTTGCACTCTTTTGATCAAATAACTTTAGTACAGGCGAACTTGTCAGGGATACTTTTAATTGCTTAAAAGATGCTAACTCTTCCTCGCCCATCTTAAAGGACAATGGTCTGGCAATAATAGCGAAGTCTTTCACAAACCTTTGGAAATAGGATGTTAAGCAAAGATATCGTTGAACTTTGTTTTTGTCTCGCGGGGCTGGGAAGTTTTCGACTGCACCAGTCTTCTCTGCTGATGGTTGGATAGTTGCGTTTTCGACTATATAGCCTAGGAATTGGACCCTCTTCTTTAAAACTTGACACTTTTCCCACTTAATACGCTGACCTGAACGCATTGCGATATCTAAAACTGTCTTTAATTTCTCCAAACCGTCTTGTTCGTCTTTTGATGGAATAATCAAATCATCCATGTACAGGATTAGGGTCCCGTCTTCTATGAATGGCCTGAGCACTGCAAAAATGTATCGCATAAACACCGCAGGGGAATTGGAAATTCCGAATGGTACGTAGCAGAATTCGTATTGACCTCTTTGGGTGACGAACTTTGGGTGTATTTGCGAGAGCTTTCCTGCACGGGGACATGGAAAAATCCGTTTGATAAGTCTAACGTTGTAAATACTTTTCCCTTTTGATGCTTATGTAAAACATCGTCAATCAAGGCCATAGAGAAATTATCACGAATAATCTTCTGATTCAATTTGCGGTAGTCACAACAGAGTCTTTTGGTGCCATCCTTTTTTGCAACCAAAACTATGGGTGAAGCGTATTAGGAAACACTTTGACGAATGATTCCTTCCTTCAACCAATCCTTAATCTGCTTGTCAACTTTCTTAGTTTCCTCGTACGGTAAGCGCCTGGGTCTCTGATAGACTGGGATTTCATCTGTGAGGAGCAATTTCATTTCTACTGGGCTTGACTCTGGCTTTAATGGCTTGTAATTTTTAACTAATCCAACCACTGCTGATCTTATGTCGGTGCTCAAGTGAAGCAGATCTAAATCTGGAACAATGTCTTTAATGAAATCAGATCCCATTAATTGATAGAAAGTTTCTGTCAAGTCTGAAATGCTACTGGAAGTCGCATCTACGGCCACATTTTGATTGACACTATGATGAGTGAGATCTATGTCGTGGCTTGGGTTATTTTCATCTTTACCTAAGGTGGGGTCGGAGATATGGTCAAGATCTACTGAATGAACTGCGTGGAAAACGACTCCTTTTGCTCCAATTGTTGCGGTTACCATATTAAGCACATCGCTACCGATCACACCTTCACAAAGGGTATCATTGTCACGCACTACATGAAAGCACAAATCAACGTCCACGTCATCTAAGTTCGTCGCAACTGTGAATGAGCCTAGAGTTTTTATATTCTTACCACCTATCCCTATAAGCTCCTTAATATCAGGTTTGAGAATATCAGGATAAATGCGAGTGTACGCTGTCTCGGAAATGGTACAAATATCGTTGCCAGAATCGAATAACGCCGTAATGTGGTCGTTGCCAATGTTAATGTTTTTAAAAGCTCTGTTAAAAGTTGACTGTGACAGCTGCTGAATGTTTGAGTTTTCATTTTTCACTTCCTTACGAGCTTCCTTGGTACCGCATTGATTTGCCTTGTGACCTATCTGATTGCATTTGAAACATTTTATACCTACTTCCTTACAATCCTTGGCAATATGATTGCTGCCATTACACTTAAAGCAACGTCTGCCATCTTGGTTAGTTTTGACTAAAGTACTGTCAAATTTTGGCTTATGCTTAAACCCCTGACTCGCGCAAATCTTCTCGTAAACCTTAAGCTTCTCACGAAACTCCTTAAGATTGGACGCCTGGTACAGACAATTTTTATTTTGTTTCGAGTCTGGTATACCCTCCACTATGTATTCTATAATACTTTCTTCGTCCAACTTTGACTGATTTGCTAATGCGCTCATACTGTAGAAGTATTCTAGCAAACTCTCTTTCTGCGTTTTCTTCCTATTTTCGAGCATCTTGTGCACATGTTTTGCTGTAAGCTTCTCCGCAAATTCATTTTTCAGAGATTCTTTTAATGCATCCCAATCATTTATTCCTGGTTGGCTACCTAAGTATAATTTTGCAGCTCCCTTTACCAACTGTCTACCGTAAATTAATTTTTGAAGATCAGTCCACCCAACTGTAATAGAATTAAGCTCGAAGTCCGCAAGCCACTCATCAATATCTGGAGAACCATTTCCAGTGAATGCTGAAAGTGAATCTTCAATATCTCTTAGTGTGAACGCCATGGCTGAGGGTTGAGAATTAGAAAAATCTGACTCTAAGACGTTGGTTTCCTCGTAGACTGACTCCTCTGAACTTTCTGAGTTTTCCTCTTGGTCGATATTTTCCCCCTCAAAATAGGAGATGAGTCTTTCCTGTAATACAGCTTTGAGGCCTGAACTCGGTAATCTTAATTCTCTTAGTTTGTCTCTCAGCTCCGCAACAAAAAATCGTGTGATCTCTTCAACATTCATATCTTCTACACTTACATAACTTATAATACTTTTCTCTCAGATTACACAAATGATTATTTTATAATACTTTTCTCACAAATGAACAATTTAATGGGAATAAAATATTGTTTACGTTACAATAAATTATTTTTTTTTAACCTCAACTTTGTGGAATCGATTAAATAATGCTCGTATGGATTTATACTTGCGAACCGACTGCTGTCTCTCGTCTTTTGTTGCTCATCTCTGATCACTGCTTTTCAAATTCGTCTCGTTGGACTAAAAGCTGCTGCCGTTGTCCTCTCTGATGACTGCTTCTCGAACTGCTTATCCACGTCATCTTCACTCGCGCCTTCAGTGTCGCCTTCAACTCCAGTGACGTCACTTTGCCGCCTCGTCTTAATACTCCTCTCTGGATCTCTGCTCCGTCGTAATCTCCTCCAGATTTTACTTTTCCACGTTCTCCTCCTGGTCAAGTTGTCGCTTCAGCCATTATTGTCGCTCTGAGCGACAACGGATCCCATAAACGCCCTTCGTCGTCTTCCGTTAGCAATTTTCTTGTCGCCACAGAACCAATTTTGCTCTCACACTCGCAAACTTTGTAGTTTTGTAGTTTGTAGTTTTGTAGTTCCAGAATTTCACAATACTTTGCAAAACTTGGTGGAATTGCGCAATATGAAAATTCTCAGCTCTTCTGGATGGTTTTTTGACTCATAATCTCATCAGTGTTATAACTTTTACTTTCTCCGTTTAGTTTTAATCATTAAACTGCGATCGATGGATTCTTAGCACAAAAACTTGGTGGTTGTTTGGCCGCGTATCACACTCAAATTGGCACGTGTTTGGATTGCATCCCGGACGAGCCCCCAAAATTGTAGAGAAAGGCATCCGTTGACTTCATTACATTATAATTCAATTCACTTTATTGTTCGGTTTATGTAGTTTACTTATTTTACAGTTTATTTAGTTTTAACATTTTAGGTGTACTGGAGATACACGCGACCTTCCTCTGCTGATGCTCAATCTCTACTCGTTCTCATTTTTCATGCTTTTCAACACTAAAGAAAAGTGCGACGGAACTTAACAACTTATCGATTATAAAATAGGACTGCCAATCCTACATGTTGTATATCAGTGATTTGGTGAGGAAAGAGTTAGTAGATTACATATATTTTATATCAACTAAAAAAAGACCGCAAGCTTTAATATAATTGTTTTGTTTACGACTTCTGTATAAGTGTGTCGTTTATAAGTAATAAGTATAAGTGTGGTTTTACAACGGCTAGTTAGAAAACTATTAAAAACATGTTTTTTTGCTGGTAAATGCTGTCAAAATAACCATCATTGATTTTTTTACGACTTCTGGTTAGAAAACAGTAACCAAAATGGTTTTACGATGGTAAGTTTTCTAAAAATGGTACAAATTACTTTTCAGTGATTGGTTGACGAAAGAATTAGAAAACTACACATATATCATACCAAAATAAAAATACGGCATGCTGGTTAGAAAACTATTAAAAACATGGTTTTTTGCTGGTAAATGCTGTAAAAATAACCACAAATTACTTTTCGGTCATTGGTTCAGGAGAGAGTGACATACATAACTACATATATTCTATACCAAATGAAAAACGGGCGGCTACACATATATCATACCAAAATAAAAATAAACGGCTTGTTTCAATATAAGTGTCGTTTTTACAACTGCTGGTTAGAAAACTATTAAAATCATGGTTTGTTGCTGGTAAATGCTGTAAAAATAACCACAAATTACTTTTCAGCTATTTGTTGAGGAAAGACTATATTTATTTTATATCAAATGAAAAACAGGCGGCTAGCTTCAAAGTCATTGTTTTTTTTTACGACTTCTGGTTAGAAAACAGTTTCCAACATGGTTTTATGATGGTAAGTTTTCTAAAAATGGTAAAAATTACTTTTCAGTGATTGGTTGACGAAAGAATTAGAGAACCACACATATATCATACCAAAATATAAATACGGCATGTTTCAATTAAGTGTCGTTTTTACAACTGCTGGTTAGAAAACTATTAAAAACATGGTTTGTTGCTGGTAAATTCTGTAAAAATAACCACAAAATACTTTTCAGTTCTTTGGTGAGAAAAGACTACATATATTTTATATCAAATGAAAAACAGGCGGCAAGCTTCAATATCATTGTTTTGTTTACGACTTCTGGTTAGAAAACAGTTACCAACATGGTTTTATGATGGTAAGTTTTTTAAAAATGGTACAAATAATTTTCAGTGATTGGTTGACGAAAGAATTAGAGAACTACTCATACCAAAATAAAAATAGACGGTATGTTTCTATATAAGTATTTTTTTACAACTGTTGGTTAGAAAAATATAAAAAAAACATGGTTTTTGCAAATAAATGTTGTAAAAATAACCACAAATTACTTTTCACTGATTTGTTGAGGATAGAGTGAAAAAACTACTTATATTTAACATGAAATGAAAAACAGACGGCAAGCTTTAATATTATTGTTTTGTTTACGGCTTCTGGTTAGAAAACAGTTTCCGACATGGTTTTATGATGGTAAGTTTTCTTAATATGGTACAAATTATTTTCAGTGAATGGTTGACGAAAGAATTAGAAATCTACACATTATCATACCAAAATGAAAATAGTAATAAATCATCTCAAA